GAGCGTTGTAAAAATGTTGTAGGCTTCATTTTGCGTTTCCGCCCCCGAGCATGACGCCGGGCGGTATATCCGGGCGGTACTTACACTCCTTGTTGCGGTCCATGGCCTTGTGCAGCGGCGTGTCGTCCACCTCGGCCTTGGGCGGGCTGGGCACGGGGGAGCTCAGCGGGGGCAGCGGGCCCTGCAGGGGCGCGGCGGCTCGCGCGGCGACCAGGGGGGTCGCGGCTGGGGGGCCCCCGGGGGGGCTGTGCTGGGGCCGCGCCTCAGCCATGGCGGCCGGGGGCCGCTCCCTCTCTCTGAACCAGTCCGGGTAGATGGCGGCGAGTGTGTCCAGCAGGTCCTGATCCAGGGGGATGCGCCAAGACACAGGCCCCTGACCCTCCTCTACAGAGTGGCCCGACTCTGCAAAGAGAAGGAAAAGAAAAACACACAAGGTAAGTTATTGTTCTTTCGGCACGCATCATCTATCTATGGAGATACACCTGAAGATCATCTAAGGACAAAGAAACACAGAAATCACGGGTTCACGTCACCGAATACATGCGGAGAGGGGGGAGTAGGCGGAAGAAAGTCCCTCAGGAAGAGTCTCCCGGCTGGTTTCGCTGTGGCCCCTCCCCGCTCTCCCCGCCCCGCCTGGGCCGCGTCCGCGTGGGCAGGCCGGGCGGCGCAGTACGACGCTCGCCCACCACTCCAGCCGATTTGTGAATCCGAGTGAGCGTGAGCCTGATCAACGACCAATACACTGCCAAGTGAAAACTGAAAAGCTAGAAGCCCCCCCGCCTCTCTCTCTTTTTAGCGGATGATACCTTAAAAACCTTTTGACTAAACATAAAGAATATATGGGTAACTTTAAGGTGTCAGCTAGCTTTTACTCTCGATAAAGACAGAGAACCAAGCTAGTTTATTACACTGACTTGTGTGTCAGGTATCATGTTCAGTTTAGACAACTCGAACGACTTTCCCTTACACTGACGACCTATGTTTTGAATGTGTTGAACCTTTTGTGTTCGGCTTTAGCTTGACAGACTAAGAAAGTCAGTGCACTCAGCAAGAAAAAATATCGTCCTCCGCATCATTTTTGTTTGTTTTTTGTTTTCAACATTAGCGCGTCAGGGATAAATTGATTGGATCACGAACGGACGAGGATTTCCAATTACAATCATCCTCAAACGTAACCAGCGGACCCGCGCGACTCGGCTCGGCTGGCGGCCGCAGCCGGTCCGCCCACCTCCCTAACCTCGCGCAAGGGCGCACCCGGCCCTGACCAGGCGCACGCACACAAGAGCACACATAACTGCGCACTCCCATCTAGTCAGTCTCGACGACGTTGTTTAAAACCGAAACAATTACACATAATGCGAGTAGAAAATGACGCGCGCCTGTGGCCAGCTTATCCGCTCTTCAAGTAGTGAGTCTCTTCCAACTCGCTCTTCCATCTGTTGCATAATTCAAGGGGAATGCCGCCCCTGGCAGAGCGGTCAACTATACCAGACCGACCAGGGCCGACACTCGCGCGGAAGATTGGGCCGCCGGCGGCTCTGTCAACTGCTCCGAGTGGGAGAGAGACGCGGAGAGGAGAGGGGCGTGACCGGTCGTCACCTTGGCGCCACCAAGAGATTATCCCGGACGTCCAAAACCGATCATTACAGAGCAGAACGCCTGCAACCATCATAGGCCCGGAAGGCCGCTTGAAAGCAAGAGGGTCCTCCATCTGCGTGCTTTTGTTGCGCGCATCCAGGGCCAGCAAAACATTTCTTTACTTGATAGTTTACAACCAACAAACGGTACGCCCATACAAGAACATGATGCACTTTGTGCTTAAGAATCGTCCAGAAAAGTACGCCCGTTTTCCCACAGATTCATTCGGCATATTACGGCAGCTCGGCGCCTGCGAGACTCGGGGTAGGCCACCACGCAGTGCACGCATGCACCGCAGGCAAGACGTTGCCTACCTGCCGGGCGCTCTGAGAGCTTGCATCGGCTGAACATGGCAGACTCGAAAAGGCGCATGACGGAAGTACTTTCTGGAAGAACTCTTAGCACAACTCCGCGCGTTCACTTTGCAAAACAAGTACAACTAGGCATTGTTATAGACAAAGAGGCTGATCCCTGGTCGCGGAAGCGATGTGCGTTTCCGTTGTTTTGTGATTTTTTTGTTATGTTGGCAATTAATTATCATGGGGAAGTTTTTTTCAACTCCTTTCCTCCTCAGTTTTTTTTTTGTACCCATTTCGCCCATTTACTCGACGCCGCTCCTCGCGCGCAGTGGCGCCAAGAGGGGGTCCGAGGTGCAGCAAATGCTGCACCTAAAATGGGAATAACCGGGTGTGAGTAGGAATAACCGGGTGTAAGAAGGGAGGAAGAAAAAAAGAGAAAGAGAAGGAAAGAGAGAGGAAAGAGGAAGGAAAGGGAAGGGAGAAAGAAAGGGAAGGGAACCAGAACGAGTAGCAGGTAGTACCGGCACCGGCAAGGAATAGGGGCGGGGGTGTCCGCCAGTGGCGGACCGGCCAATGTGGGGAGGTGGGATTCCTCACCCGGGCCCCCTGCTCGCGGACATCTCGGGCCCGAAGGGCTCGAGAGAAGAGATCGAGCCACGGGCCCAAGTCCTGAGCGCGACACCGGACAGGGGCCCCAGCCTGGGCCCTAGATTCAAGCGCCATGTAATTTTTTTCGCGCTCGCTTCGCTCGCGTTTTTTATTGTTCTACAAGGGCACTGTACATAAATCGCGTCCGACGGAATCCTGCCCACGTTTCGGTACTCGGAAGGCCTTCTTAGCGACCTCATACAATCAAAA